AGAGGAGGCAGCAGGAGGGCAGGGAGGGAGGGAGGAAGGTACGCTATAGGCTAAGAGAGGGAAAATATAAACTCGGTCGCGCTTATAGTCACGCGAACGGGGCCGTAGAGAAGAACGTTAGATCCTCGGGGATAAATTTAACTTGGTGAGGTAGGAGGGACAGAGAGAGAGAGAGAGAGAGAGAGAGAGAGAAAGGGCTGGGGGGAAGAGAGAGGGAAAATTATGTGTACGCCAAAGAGAGGCACATGTTTCTCTATGTCTCTCTTTCTCTCCCGGAGCGCTAAAGAAGACCGTAAAAGTGTACATTCTGAGCGAGGGACCGTTAATTTCACCCAAAAATATTTGCAATTTGCTAACGGTTAAAAATGCGCAACAACGAGGAGGAGGGCAAGTTCGAAAATGTTACTTTGAAAATGGGTACCTATCCAACTAGTTACGATATTGCGGCCTCTAAAGCACGTGAAATAATATTGCGTGGTGATTCCAACTCGACTGCCATACGGATAAGAATTATTATACGTGACGTGAAAGTGTGAGAGAGAGAGGGAGGTAGTTCGAGCTTGCGTCGACCGAAAGCACACGGTCTTAACAGCTTTTACGTTATATATGCGACTATAGGTACGTATATGTAGGGGTATATACGTGCGTGCGTGGGTGTTACCGCGTAAACAGCGATATAATTTATACGCGGTAAGATAGATCGAACGTGCGAGAAAGAGATCGCGAGAGAGGGTGAGAGAGGGGAAGGGAGGATAATTTAATGCAGGGTGAGCGTTGAAAGGAGCTCGAGATGTAATGTGCGATTAATAATACTCAATATTTGCCAATGAAGCTCGAAAGTCAATTCTATATTCGTAACATGTTTTTTTTTTTTATTTTTCGATGTGCAAATCGAACCCGTACGGTTTATCGTAGCATAGTAGACACTAAGTGTATATATATATATATATATATATATATATATATATATATATATATATATATGTATAGTGTTTTCGAATAATCGCGGATGTGTATCCGCGTAAGCTCCGTAAATTCTTGGAGAATATCTTTTTAGAAATAGAGTAAGGGAAAGAGAGAGTATGTGTGTGTGTGTGTGTATGAGAGAGAGAGAGAGTTTAGACTTAGAGGGTTGAACGGAGAAAAGGGAGGGTTAACGTATCCGAGGAGCGCGAAGAGCGACATAAATTATCCGCGTAATGCGAACGGGGGAGCGTAATAATAACATTGTCGTGTAGCGAGTGAGAATACAGAGCTAGTACGTTTTCCAACGTAATGTTAGCTAGAGATGGGGTGATGAGGAGAGGATAGGAGGGGCAAGGGGACGAGGGCAAGGGGAAGAGGAGAAGAAAAGGCATTCCCGTTCCATGCTCTCGCGGTGGCTCCCAGTTGTCTCGAGGGATTAACTCGCCTCGTAGGAGCTCATGCTACTATACGTCTCGTGTTTCCGCTCCAGTGTCTCAAGGAGTCAAGCTCGAAAGGTTTCGCCAGCCTAGATAACGGCTTATATGTATGTACTAGCGCAACTACCAATGTATTTATCTTTATGCGCGCAAACGTTTCCCTTACACAAACGCAAAAACAAACACGTACACTCATCCAAAAAAGAACACATATATATATATATCTCACACAAGTGCACGCGTTCTTTTTACCCTGAAATCGTTCGTAGGCATTTACGAAATTTTTCTAGTACGTAATCGTTGTACGTCGCTATATTGGATTGGTACTTTTCCTATGTGAAATATCTATTCTCTTTCGTCGTTGCGCGTTGGAAACCTTAGAAAACGTCTTCTAAAATGCCGACGGGGAAGGATAAAGATCGGCCGATGGGGAGAAACAATCCTAGACGAGGTAAAAGAAATGATAGCGCGAGTAGATTGAGCCGTCTGATCTTTTCCTCCCTCTCTTTTTTTCTTTTTACTTTTTCTTTCTTTTTTTCTCTTTTCTTTTTTATACTCTCGTTCGTTCTTTATCGTCGAGAGATAAGCCAGGAGACGACGCGCAGTCATTGTGATAGTGCATCATAGTAAACTATTTCAACGTTGATCCATGTCTTTCATCCAAGTGATACTTTAGGGGCTTTGAAGAAGTGGATAAGTTGTTTTGTTTGATTAAAAAAAAAAAAAAAAAAAAAAAAAAAAAGAAAAAAAAAAAGAAAAAAAAAAGAAAAAAGAAGAAGAAGAAGAAAAAAAGAGGAGAGGAAAGGAAAAAAATCAATCGAGGCTATATTAGAGATCCAAACGAAAAATTCGATCGATCGAATAAATTTATGCTCGTACGTAGGTAGATAACGCGTTTCCATTTGTTTAAAAACCATAACTTCATTTCCACGTTGCTACGGGGAAATTAGCTCGAAAGAAATTTCTTCTTGGTCGATAATAAATACGTCGAGGGAACGATCGAGGGCTTATTAGGATCGATTTTTTAGCCGGTTAATCGGACTCCGGAATGAATATATGTATATCGAAGGAGTCCTCTTCGTCATTCCGAAAAGGTT